AAAAAATAAATGTGTGGTGGGGTCATATAAATTACAAAAACAACAAATAATTTATTTTTTCTTTCGTTTTTAAAAAGAGTGGTGTTCAATTATTTTTTTTATTTCCAAAAAACCATGAACTTTGTTTAGCAACACGGTTTGCTCATAAAAGAAATTTTAGAAAAAGGAATACGAAAAAACACGGATCTTGTATTTGAGTGGGCGTTTCTTTATATTCAGGTCTACAATGGGTGTGTGCTGTTTGCTATCTGTGTGTGTGTGTGTCATATGTGTTAATAGAATTAATTTAATCTCTTCTGTCTCCAGAATCTGTTCTATCAACTGGAAAGAAGTGGTTATTATGGCCTCCAACCATAAATGGTGACAAAACTATTTTGTCACTGTCTCAGTCAGGGGTTTTTTTCTGTGCCATTTTCTGTGGTAAACTCAATATTTGTTTTTGTTTTTATGTTTTTAAGAGTATTTGGCTATGCCTCAATTAAAATCCGAAAGTAGATTTAAATTTCAATAACCAGAATAAGAATATATTGGCAAATTCGAAAAAAGCATATTAAAATGGAATGATTTACGTCATGGCATGATTCATTTGGGGAATTTGGACGGGTCAATCACATAATTTAAATAGAGAATAGGTTTACATGCATATGTAATTTTGAATGGGTATGAGGTGAGAATTTTAATTTAGTTTTCTGAAATTTTATAAAATTTTGTGGAGCAACCCAAAAAAAAAAAAAAAAAAAAAAAAAAAACATTACAAATCGGATTACCAACCCATTATTTTGACATGAATATTCCGCACGAAATAAGTACTTATTTTATGGCCACTAAAGGTCGGTAAATAAGTGTAAATATAAGGACTTTTAGTATACAAACAAAAAAATAATAATAATAAGTAAAAAAGCTGTGAACTTTGAAAGACCTCCACCATTTGGTACGAAAATGGCAATTTTTGAAAAAAAAATCCGTTAAAAATTATGTTAAAATCTTAAAAATACCCAATGTAGCCGTTATATTAGGGTCTATACGACGATGTGGACCGAATATAGGGAGGTACAATAATATGGGGGCTATACGAAGACGCGGACCTGCATAGAAAAATTTCTGTCTTAGGCTGTAGTATCCATAACGAACTTCAAATACCAGTTTTGAAACCATTCCGGCGAATAATGTCGCCAAAAAAATCCGTTAAAAATTATGTTAAAATCTTAAAAATACCCAATGTAGCCGTTATATTAGGGTCTATACGACGATGTGGACCGAATATAGGGAGGTACAATAATATGGGGGCTATACGAAGACGCGGACCTGCATAGAAAAATTTCTGTCTTAGGCTGTAGTATCCATAACGAACTTCAAATACCAGTTTTGAAACCATTCCGGCGAATAATGTCGCCAAAAGCATCAAAATACCGAATATCGGGAGGTACAGCTATATGGGTGCTATACGAAGACTTGAGCCTGCATAGATGATTTTTTGTCACAGACTGTAGTTCCCATTACGAACTCTATATACGTAGTTTCAAACAATTCCGGTGAATATTGTCGCTGAAATCATCAAAATACCGAATATCGGCAGATACCGTTATGTGGGGGCTATACGAAGACGTGGACCTGACAACAGACAATTTTTTTTCATAGGCTGTAGTATCCATTACGAACTTCAAATACCACATTTGAAACAATTCCGGTAAATAATGTCGCTAAAATCATCAAAATACCGAATATCGTGAGGTACCGTTATATGGGTGCTATACGAAGACTTGGACCTACACAGACACTTACTGCCTTAGGCTGTAGTATCCATTACGAACATCAAATACCAGTTTTGAAACAATTTCGGTGAATAATGTCGCTGAAATCATCAAAATACGGAATATGGGGAGGTACCGTTATATGAGGACTATACCAAAACGTGGACCTACATGGCCCATTTTCAATACCAAAAGTCCTGAAGACATAATACACATTTGAGCAAAATTTTATCAACCTACATCATTTTGTTCGGAAACTAGATTTCCACAGACGGACAGACGGAGGGACATCGCTTAATCGACATAGAATTTTATGCTGATCAAGAATAAATATACTTATATATATATACTGAAATGTATATTTCGATATTTCAAAAATAACATTTGAAATTCTTTCTGATTTCTTAAATTTCGATTGCACATTATATCAGAGTCACATATAAAGTGGAATTTTCACACCTATCTTTAGCATTTTTGTTGAATGCTTTTAGGCGTTTTTCTGCCACAATTTTTAACTTCATTGAAAAAAGTTTTAAAGATAAATATAGTATAACAAATAATGTAGTTTACATAGAAGTTTAAAAAAATCGTTGGAAACGCCTTAAAGTAGGCTATACAAATGCTAAATACATTCTACACTTTATACAAGTCTCTAATATGAGGTGTAAACTGGCCGGTAATGTTAGTTTTTATAAATAAATAAATACCTAAATATATGAATAATTTTGAATTTTGGCCGGGAAAGAGGTCAAATTCCGTTATTACCGTTATATGAATAATTTCATGACTGCCACAAAAAGTTTAAGTTGGGGTATCCAAAGAGATTATTGAACTGAACTTGTAGATGTCGTATGCTTCCAAGTGAAATGAAAAAAGTAATATTATTTTATTGTTGATTTAAATGTTTATCGATAGATTGTCAATGGTAGTTTCTTCTAAAAATTGTTTTGTTCTTAAGTCTTTTGTTTCCATGCTTCATGTGTATTTCCACATTCTTAAATGCAAATTATAGTGTGGCTGTTAAAAAAAAAACTAAACAATTTCTAAGAAATTCTTCGAAAAATGAATTTCAAAAGTATTCGATAAAAAGTTATTCTTCTAAAACCTAAGAGATTTGAAAAATCTAATTTCAACGATCGAAAAAATTGTTGTCACTGACGAAAAAAAATTAAAAATATGGTTGTAAATCAGCAGGCGAATTTATTCCGACACAAAAGGTTAAAATTTTAATTTTAATAAAGAAAAAAAGTTTTGCACATCCCCATGTTTTCATCAATATTAGATGAAGTGGTAAACTTCGGTATCTGGGACCTCACCCGTATTTCAACATAATAAGATATTATATTTATATCAGATTAAATGTTTCGGCAAAACCGGCTAATAATTTCTAACTTTTTTTAGATATTTTTTTGTTTTTTTTTTCAGAGTTTTATTTTTAATCAAATAAAGTCATATAAATATTTTAAATTTTTAAAATATTTTTTTTTAATTTTTTAAAATTTGTTATGCATTTTTAATATTTTTTAGAGTTTATTTTTGGTTTAAAAGTCCTTTACTATTTAATTTTTACAATGTCGTTTTGTTTTTTTTTAAGTTTATTATTTTATATATTTTTCTATATATATTTTTAATTATTTATGTATACACTTAATTTTGTAATTTTTTAAGACGATTTTAGATGTTTGAGAGTTCATTTTTTTATAATCAGAGCTTATTCCTTGTTTTTTTTTAAATGAGTTTTTAAAACATTTTTCTATTTTTTTCGCTAAAAAGTCCTTTGAAATCGCTAGCTTTTTTATTTTAAATTTGTACGAAGTATTTTCAACTGCTTAAAACTAACTATTACAAAAAATAGTTAGTATTAAAAGTTACAGTTACAGTTATTAATAGTTACATAGTTACTCTGTCCCATTATTTTTAGTTCTTTAAAAACAACGTTTATTTTTTAGTGTTTTTTATATTTTTCTCATATTAACGTCAACAGTTTATTTTGCTATCATTTTTTTGTATATATTTTATATTTTTTCTTTTTTTGACTTTCACATTTAGTTTTATTTTTTATAATTTAGTACATTTTTATAACGTTCTTAAATATTTTTCCAAACATTTTTAGTTTTTTTATAATTTTCTTAAATATTTTTTTCAAAACTCTGTTAGTAGTTTTTTAAATTATTTCGAGTTGAATTTATTGTCCTTCAATTTTTTTTTTATGTTTTGCATATATTTTTTTAAGTAATAGTTTTTTAGAGTTTAATTTTTACTTCATAATTTTAATTTTTTTTTTCCGAAAAATATTTATATTTGTTTCTTTATTGTTCACAGTTTATTTTCATACTTTTTTCAGATATTATTAGAAAATGTAGTCATTTATTTTTTTTTTCAATATATTTATTTTTTAGCATTTTTTTGTTATTTTTTGAATCATTTACAGTTTATTTCTAGATTTTTTTTTCAGATATGTTTAGAAGGCGTAGTCATTTATATTTTTTCAAAATTTATATTTATTCAAAATTGTTTATTTTTTTATAATATTTTTTGTATTTTCTTTAACAGTATTCTTCAAACATTTTGAATGTTTTTTACCATTTCAAAAGTTTTGATTAGAAAATATTTATTTTTGTATAATATTTTATCATTTTGTTTGTTATTTTTTTATAATTTGCAGTTTATATCTAGATTTTTTCAGACATTTTTAGAAGGCGTAGTCATTTTCTTGTAATATTTTTTTAGAATTCTCTTTAACAGGATTTTGCAAATTTTTTTATGTTTTTTACCATTCCAAGAGTTTAGATTAGAAAATATTTTTTTTATAATATTTTATAATTTTTTATTATTTGCAGTTTATTTCTAGATTTTTTTTTCAGATATTTTTAGAAAGCTCACTCATTTATATTTTTTCAAAATTGATATTTTTTCCAAATTGTTTATTTTTTTTATTTATATTATTTTTCTTTAACAAAACATTTTTATTTTTTTTTACCATTTCAAGAGTTTAGATTTTTATATAACTGTTTCAATTATTATTTTTTTTTTCAAAAATTTAAAGTCGGCTTTTTATTTTGTTATATTTTTTATAATATGTAGTTAATTTGTTCACCGTTACTTTTTGCGTTTTTTTCACATGTTTTTGATTTTTTTATTTTTTATTTACAGTTCTTTTTTTTTAAATATATATTTTTTAATTTTGTCCACATTTACTTAATCCAAATTTCTTTTGTTTCCAAATATGAAAAAATCTCCAACACCCACCTTGCTTTCCAATTAAGAAGAAATTAAATTTTTTTTTCCTAAATTTAATTATTTTTTTTAATATATTTTGGCGAACAGTTCCCTTTTAAAGTCTATCCAAAGCCGCTGACAAAAAATTGCTTGTCAATTTTTTTGTCTGTGTTTTAGCTTGCTTTCCGTTCGACCCAAAAGGAACTACTGTTGCGGCTTAAATTTGTCAATCTCTTGAGGTGGTGGGTATTGTGTGGCTGGCTATGTTTCTATTTGGCAGAGTGGCCAAACGAGAATTCAAATGAAATTGAATTCTCACACCAACACCACTGGCAGAAAACAACACCTAATAGAAGTACCCATACACAAGCAAAACTTTTACTTTTGTTTTCTTCTTGCTCTCTCTCCCTCCCTCTTGCTTGGCAGAAGACAAATCCCAAGCAAAATAAAATTAATTTAATTTCTTGAAATTTCACTTAATGAATATTTAAGTTAAGAAAATTATATGTATTTTAGAGAAAAAAAATACATCCATAATTAATCCATAGATTTTTCAATTTATTTTCTAGATGAGAAGTAAATGTTTTTGTTTTTATGCTTGCTGACGTACGAGCCAGCGAGCTCTATACAATATCAGCAATATCTTGGCAATAGACAAAAAAAAAACAACTAAATCCCAAATCATTTGGAAGAACAAGTTCTGGCTTTATTGTTTTCGACAAAAAAAGAACAACAAAACTGGTAAAATTAAAAAATTCGTATTCAAAATATCTTCAAAATCATATGTAAATTAATATGCAAAATTTTAAAACTGAAACATGTTTCTTCTCTTTTGGTGGCTCTCTGAATTTTGAAATTGAACATGAGCTTGGCAAATGTTATTTTTTATTAGCATAATTTCGACTCTATTTTTCTGGTTTTCAAAACGAATATATTATAAATTTTATTATGATTCCTGTTTCTTTTTTCTAAGATTCTACAGTTAGAATAAGTAAACGTTGTATAATAATTGAAATTAGAGACATTTAAGTTTATGGCACTCGGTTTTAATAGTGGCAAACCGTTAATGTTTATCTGTATTTGAAATTAATTGAAACAGTTTTTGTTTTTGGAAATTAAACCAACTTTTTTAATTAATGCCTATAAAAGCATATATCATTCAAGATTTAAAGTTCAAGAATAATTAATTGACACCTTTCCTTGCCTTTTCCTCAATACTCTCCCTCTTATTTCAACTCTCTCCCACAATTGCCCGCTCTCCCGCTAAATATCTCTCTCATGAATTGTTGTCATGAAACTGTTACATTTTATTATGACATTTTGAGGTGAGAAACATGTCTGTAATCATTTATTGTTATTATTGTTGTCTCTCTTGTTTTTTTTTGTTATAACATTACAAGCCATAAATAATCATAACACCAACAAAAATAAACCCAAAAAGCATAATGGGTGAAATATTGTTAATAATAAAATAACAATAATAAAATGCTGCATCACAACTTTGATGAGTAGAGCAGAGTGTGGTCAATTGTTGCATTGTAAGAGTGTATGTGTGTTTCTTTACAAGAGCAATAAAATAAAGATGAGTAATTGGAGTGTTAACAAACGGTAGCTGAAATTAGGAAATATTTTGTAGGTATTTCAAGGATGTTTATATTGAAAGAAACTTAAAAAATAGGGTGTATTTTTTTGGAATGACATTATTTGAAAATTCGTACGAAATGTACTACAATTAAATAAAAATTTAATACTTTGTATGGGACAAACGGAACGAGCTGGATTTCTGCAATTTGGAATGAGTGTCACTGATGTAGTGCAGGATAGATGTACCAAAAGGTTTCTTGGAAATCCGATCTTAAAGGGTTAAGTACCCTTAAAAAGTTCTAAAATGGTACTAAAATTCGTTAAAGCCTTGACGAAACGGCTGAAGCCAGAACCTTGCAATTTTGCAAGAGGGTCAGTCTTGGTAAGTAGGCTTAGAAATTCGTACTAAATGAATAAGAAAAGTACTAAAATGTACTAAAAATTTAATGCTTTTTATTGGACAAACGCAATGAGCTAGAATTTGAAAATTTTAAATGAGATGGAGTGCGGTGTAGATGAACCAAAAGGATTGCTTTGAAATTCAAACCTTAAGATCACGAAAAGTGCTACAATTGTACTAAACTTCTGTAATTGTACCATTTGATATAATGTGAACAGAAAGAGCTAAATATTTCAAATTTGTTATAAGATTCAGGGTTGGAAAGTAAGTTTGATATGTGAGTGGTTTTGCAAACGGATGAAGTCTGAATTTTTGAAATTTTGTATTGATTGAAGATAGGTTTATGTTGAAGAGGTGGTTCTGGATATTTATTTTTTTAATTTTATTGAATAAAAGCAAAAAATTTCGGAAATAGCATCAAATTTTAGAATAAGTTTAGATTTGTTCGAAATGGCCACCTTTGGCACGAATTATGGCCTTCAAACGGCCAATGAAACCGTCACACGCTGCCCGAATGTTGCTCTGCAGTATTTTGGCCTTGAGGTGATCGACACTTGAGATGATCGACACTTTGGTATTTTTTAGTGCCAACCTTGCCTTCCAAAATACTCCAGACACAATAGTCCAACGGATTGGTATCCGCAGATTTTGGTGGCCATTGTGCGCTGGAAATGAAGCGAGGAACTTCATTTTGTAACCACTCTTGGGTGGCGCGTGCTGAACGCGATGGTGCTGAGTCCTGTTGGAATGTCCAAGGCCTGCGACCAAAATGTTTGCTTGCCGAAGGCTTTAATACACCCTGCAGAATATTTTCGCACTAATATTCGGCATTTATAGTGATGCCACGGTTGATTATATTTTCAGTTAATACGAGCGGAGAGCGACCATCGGCTGTTATGGCGGCCCACAACATCACCACGGCCGGCGCTTGAGTTCTGGCGGCCAACCGAAGGTGCACATTCTCAGCTGACCTCTTTGAAAAGCAAACACGATCATTTTGTTTGTTTACAAACTGCTGGGCAACGAATGTTTTCTCATCGGAGAAAATCAAATTCGGCAGTTCACCACTTTCGGCCAAGCGAAACAACTCTTTAGCTCTTTTGAGTTTATTTTCTTTCTGTTGCGGTGTAAGTTCTTGTACATTTTGGAATTTAAATGGCTTTACCCCGAGCTCATTTTTCAATATTTGCCGAATGGAACATTGCGATATGTTCAGCTCACGAGCCATTTTTCAGTCACTATTAAGTCGTTTCTTTACTTTTTGAACCATTTCTGTTGATGTTGCTGTTTTCTTCTGTCCACTTCCTTGACGTCGGGCTACTCTACCAGTATCACGGTAACGAGCGATGGTACGTTTAAATGCTGAAGTGCTCTAACGATTGCATTTTGTTGTTTTCCAGCCAAATATAAAGAAATCACACTATCACGCTTGAATTTCATCAGGAATAACTTTTTTTTTTGGAAAATTCTCACCAAAATGCTTTTGTAGGCTTGTAAACAATATAATGAACTGTCACTGGAATAATTTTAACAGCTGTCGGGCGAGGGGTTTAGAAATTACATCAGTCTGATGTTGGTAGTCGTTTTTCCAAAATCTCGATTTAGATCTGATAGTCTTAAAAAACAATTTTATGTATGAAAATCCTTCGTTTGATCATTTTTTTAAAAAAAATACTTCTATTCTATTTTAATAAAATTAAAAATTCAATTTGAATTTTCATAAACTATGACTCATGGTTATGTATATTGAGTCAAACCCCAAAAAAATCATTTAAGAATTTATGCATGGATTTTCCAAAGCATTGTCAAAAGCATAATCATAAATTATTCCAAAACCATTTTTGTTCTCTAAATATCCAAAATGCAATCAATCGACAACTAGACATGCCTCCCTCCACATCCTCACCACAAAACAGCAAATGACATTTTTTGTTTCTATGGCCAAACAAAAGAAAAAAAGGTGTGGTGGTGGTACATGTTCCTTTCCAGTTGGCCAAAAGCAAAAAAAAAATTGTTAATAATAAATTATTTTGGTTATTATTGAGTTATTAAGAGCAACGTTTCTGGCCCAGCTTGTCGTGTTAAAATTTTGTCTTTTTTTGCAAAAAAAAAAAAAAAAAAAATAAAAGAAAATTAAACAACAACATGAGCTTAAACTAAAAACAATCTGGTTTTCTTTTCATTTCAGCCAAACAACCTTGAAAGTACGCTAAAATATACATACCCGCACACACACACACAAACATGCAATACCAAATTGGACAGATTTGATCTACAATACCAGGCCAGTAACCAAGCAAAGAGACAGACAGACAGACATATGATTTAATAACATAATGTGGTGGTCATGTAAAGGTCTTAGTGTTTGTGTGTGTGTGTTTTATCTAAAATTCTTCAAGAAAATCCAACAACAATAAAAATAGCAATGAGACCACCTTGTCATAGAATGACAAGAGATTTGAGTGAATGGTGACCAGAATAGATGGCAAATTCAAGGGGGTTGCTTGGGTGGGTCTTACCAACACAATACAACCAATGACCACCACCACTACCACCATCACTAAGTCTGTTTTTTTTGCTATTCTTCAAGCTGACAAGAACGCTTAATTCATTTGCTTTGTTTTCATACTTCTTAATATGCTAAATGTTGAAATTAAATTAAAAAACACACACTCGTGCAGCCGCAACAACAGACACATGTAATCGCCGAAGATTAAGACCCGCTTTAAGCGCAAACCTTAAGCTAGTAAACCAGTTTAATAAAAACGCACAACAACACAAAATTATAAAACAAAATAAGTTGGTTTTTAATCCATTCTTTCTTAAGTGATGTGATATAAATTTTGAGTTTTTTTTTTTTCAAAACTAAATCCGGTTTCAATAACAGCGGACTCAAAAAAAAATTCCCAAAAATAAATTAACAACAAAATATATAACTAATTTAAAATAATTTAACCATAAATGACCAAAAAACAATAGTTTATGTCGTATTGTTTTTGTTGTTGTAGCCAAAAAGTAACATTTGTATAGGAATAATAACGACAACAACAACAAAATAAATAAATAAAACAAATAAAAGAATTTTAACCTTTATTTGGTCATTGGCTTTGATAGTGAAATTCCAAATGAAATCAGAATTTTAGAAGGAACCCAAGGTCATGGGAGGAGTTTCAAACAATTTTGACTGAGTCAAATATTTGAAAATTTCAAATGTTCAATCAAACATTATAAAAAAGAAAAAACTTTCCAATATTTTTTGAAAGAAGCAAAAATTAGGGCAGTTTTCA